TGTTTTCTGCTTTGATATTTGAAGAGGCATCTGAATCTTAACTTGTCACATAGGGCTGCTTGAGTGGGACGCGTTGGTCTCAGCTTTAGCATCGTTTTTAAAACTAAAGAGTTAATGTTGTAATGTTGTTTTCAACCTGACCTTGTCCGTCTCAACCCAACCAAACAGTTTTTGTGTCTATACCTAAAAAAAGAAGCTTTGCTTATGGAAGTCAAGCAGAAATGATTCATTGTCTTTGAATTGGGGATTTGGGGTGTATGATATGGTTGGGTTATTAGGTGATTGTATCACCTGTCATCGATTGGCTGAGCCCATTGGTTGCTGGGTTAGCAGTTGCATGGACTTTTTTTGGTCTGGCTCTTTGATGCTCAGGAGAACCTGTGAATCTCCATTCATAACCTGAATCTCATAGGATATTATACTACGAACTCAATCACAATGTTCTCACCTCTTTTAAAATGAGGAAGTTACAGTTTCTCTGTGCATACAGTTACATTTTAAATATGTTTTAATCTGAACGTGATTACAGACTACAAAACAAATGATCCCAGTCTGAAATAAAAAAATTCCAGTGCCCATATATTATTAAAGTTTAAACCGCAGGTCAATATAACAATACATTTTTAAGATGTTGTAGTTGTTTATGTCTATTGTGTTTGAAGGAGCTGTTTTGCTGGTTAAATAAAAGGCGATTGCATCTCTTCAATCCTTAGACATAAGTTCATCTTCTCAGAAGCTTCGTTTTTGCGGTGTTTGGAGCTGGTTTCTTGCTGTGATATGCGAGCTGTCGTTGTCTTCTTCAGAGATAAACCTTTGGCATGTTTTACAAAGCATCATTTTGCTAATCTGCTGTGTCTCTATGCTGTAAGCCTCTAAGGGCAGCCAAGGATGTTAGAATTTAATGATGCATGTCCTTCCATATAAAACGGTGATTCAGACTGGGCTTCCTTCACTTCCAGAGAAAAACAAAGCTATTAAGGATGGAGACTGGCATGGCGTCATGTGATGAACAGACAGAGGGAAGTTTCCCTACAGCCATGATGTGAGAGGGCAATGAAGCTCACCCTGAACCCTCCTGGCCCCGTGTGACAGTAGGGCTAGAGTCCCACAGTGAGGCCCAATGTGGCAATACATCACACAGCTCCAGCTTGCCCAAGAGCAAACCATGCTGGTGTTGGGGAAAGGACAGCTAGAGGACAATGTGGGAGATGAGATAAGAGAGATGAGAAGGGAAGGCAGGAAAGATGGCTGCCAAAGGCGCACAGGTTCAGACAGGAAGCAGCCACTCTCGCTTCGTTTCCTGTTAGGAAGAGCAAGAACGGTCATGGGGAGAACGTCAACAACTCGGTCCTGGGTTTTCACAGAGGAAGGTAGGATACACAGCAGAGAATTACAGCCCAACATGAGACTCGGAGAAGAGATTCAGCGTGTATGTTTTGTATAAAACTTCCTACAGGAGGCTCCCAGACCAAAGTGTTGTTGTGACCTCTGGTGTTTTCTTCGGTGTGCTTCATAGTTTCTCTACACAAGAATGCAAATATTTAAAGTTTATTTAAAGTCAGATTTATTGGATTATTTATCTTGGGGGGTTTTTTTTGGGTTTTTTTTGCTCTGTCCTTCATTAACAATCGAAACAATGGTGTGTACTTAATAAATTACTGTTTAATTTTTCAAATGAAATAGTAACAGTAAAAACCAGATAACTTTTCGAAAGAAGTCCTCTAGACATCCAAAGTCTAAGTAAGCATGTCAGTCAAAAGAAATGTGATAAAAGTTTACCAAATTGACAAATACCGAACTGTAAAGGTTTTTATTTTAGCTTTCCAAATTCAAAGGTCTCATTTTTACTAGTTCCAGTATTATTTAATTAAAATGACCTTGGTAGATACTCATCACATTAAACATGGGAGTTAGCACAAAATGCTAATTTGGCTTTTCATCTGACTAGAAATGTCAATGTGTGGTTTTAAGGAGAAGTTACATTCTGAAACTGTTTCTCAGCAAACCACATCTAGGTGCTAGCACCCCATCCCCCACACCTTTTAACCTACATACACACCTTATAAGCTTTGTCAAACAACCCCTTGTGTTTAGTTACTGGACAACTTTACGCTCGACTCCAGTGTGATGGTGAAGAATGAGAGTCCTGAACTGTGCAGCTATCTGGCTGTAAATGCTGAGCAATGCTCGGTCCTGACCTCATTCAGTTCCACTCAAGAAACCTGACTGCCAGACGCTCATCCTTTAAAACCCACTGAACTGTTTGAAGAAACTCTTTCAAGTTGAGCTCATTTCATGCATGGTGCACCATCAGAGTGCTCACAAATACCTAACAGGATTACAGAAAGAGATAATGTCCATCTTTGCTTCCTCCCTGAAGTTGAGACTGGGAATGAAACATCTCCACATGATTAAATATTTACAGTTTACACTTTAACGCTGGTCAAGACTGTTTGGAGCTGTGCCGCCATCCATCGGGCCATGAACATAATGCATCCCACAGTTGCCACAATGATGAGGGGGTCAGAGCTTTCCCCTGATTTGTGTATAGAGAAAATTATTAAATTTAGGAATTAGTGCTTTGTTAATGTGCGTGTTGTATTTTTGAAATACGCTGAAATCTTTGTTATTTCTTTTTTATTATCTTGATGGAAATTGTGCAGTGCAAAAGTCGGAAACCAAAAGAGAACACAATGGGAAGCATGCAAACATACATGGAAATTCAGTATTGTGGTAAAACCATACGACAATTTTGACAAGATCTCTAACACCACTGTCTGAGCTTCAAACCATGACAGAGCCTCCACTGTGTTTTACAGCTGTAGACTGTAGATCACTGATCAGCCGAAGGTCCAGATGCATCTCTGTGGGTCCTGTGTCAGGTCTCTGCCTGAACTTTTCCTATTTCTTAAAGAGATGATTTTCAGATACTGTTCATCTACTGTAGTTTTTTTTTTAGGCCTGGTACTTCTTCTTTGTCACTCCACATGTATGGTTTTCTCCCATTTTTTAAGGACTTGCTGCACATGTGCTGAGAAACACAATGTTTTTTTGCTAGTAACTCTTTGGAAATCACGTTGGTGCAAGAGTAATATTATGATATATTATGCTATTACATGGTAGGTTTGCTGTTATTCTATATCATGCCTGTCAACTTGCTATTTTGAGATTCGGCTAAATATAATAGGAAAACGTGATGTGTTTTTGCAACAGGCTGCTGTAGGAAAGTGCCTGAAGATGTTATATGTAGAAACACCAATGGCTCATCCCTTGAGTCAGGTGCTTTTTTATTGTAGAATATTTCACAGGTCAATGTTCAAGGTCTGAGCTATGAAATTGTCCAGTCGACTGGACTAGAAATGGGTGAAAAAGCAGAAAGACCGTTAGAAACCCTGGAAAACTATTGCTCAAGACCCTTTTTTAATTACAACAAACTCTGGCTCACTTGAAGCAAAATTTAAAGAAACAAGAGGTGGTTTTTACCCTTTTGTATAGTGCTATATAAGAAAGCAAGTTGGCAAGCTGTGAGCAGACATGGATGTGACTGGCTGAGAAAGTTGTGCACGGCTGACTGACTGAAGACGTGAGAGACACAGGCAGCAGGCTCATTGAGCAGTCATCTGTAAATGTGTGTGTGTGTGTGCGTGTGTGTGTGTGTGTGCGTGGTTCTAAAGACGCTCCAAATAAAATTAGCTGTCGAGCCCAGTCCTTTAGCAGTCTGCAGCAACGACTCAAGGTCAGACTTGCTGATCCTGCTGATGCATTTTATTCTCCGGAGCCAGCATCAAGCTCCCGGGTGAGGGTTTACTGCTGCCCACCAACCCTCTACTCATTCCCACCCCCATTCATCCTCGGCACACACTCCCTTCCCTCCATTATCACCCTGGTCCTCCCTGGTTTGGGAGTGTGCATTTACCCGTTAAATTAGGTGGGGGAAGGAGGGGATGACGCTTTCGAGTGGAGAGCCTGGATACCCGTGCTGACGTGTGGCGGGGAGATGGATAAGCTAAGGTGTCCTAATTTCCCATGTGACTACAGTAATTGTGTTATAATGGAGGTGGGAGCTGAGTGGTCATCAGCAGACGGACAGAAGTACAAAGCTCCTGGCTTTATGCCCCCCCCCCCCTTACCGTTCAGACGGACACAGCAGGCATTGTGGGCATGATGTGGCCATGCATGCAGTTTACGACACAGCAGGAGCTTCAAAGGTTGAGTGATTGGACTATGTGTGTACCCCAGTTTGTTATCGCTTCAGGCAGAAGGTGAACTCTTATACCTCATCTCCTTCAGTTGGTCAAGTTGGCGTCTCAACACTTGTTAGCTCACTTGATGAGCTTTACACAGAAAAGCTGCGGATCTCCTCAGGCTAATGTCACAGGCAGTTTCTGTCTATTTATCATCCAAACAGTTATTCATTTACTCATTAACTGTTAATTATAGCGGCACACAAGCGAGCATACATCACCAAACTGTGAAAGGCAAACCCATGTTCTGTTATCTATTATTTTTTCTCATTAAATTAGCACCATCTCATTTTCGGCCTGTGGTGAGATCAATAATTGAAATACATTAAAGGGGCACTCCAACAAGCTTCTCATTATGCGTGGTGAAGCCTGTGAGTATGACTCATGATAAGTAACCGTGGTGATACATAGGGTTACTTATGCAAACTTTTAAAATCTCCATGCAGAGGCACAGACGTCATTAGAGAAGTGATTATGCATTAATGATCCTTATGATGTCATCAGGTTTTTCAGTTTCTGGGCTCCTTGTTTTTCAATCTGGAGGTGTTGGCTTTGATGCAAAAGAGGTTTTGTGAAGAAATCTGAATTGAATATTATGGACAATGTGATGCATTATGGGATATGGGATTTTCGAGGAGTCCCCCCCGCCCCCATTTCTTTTCTACATGCTAATTTTACTGGAGTGAAACATTTTATAAGCTTTCTGAATACAAAGCCGTCCTCACGTTACTTCTCTTCTCTGTTGATTCCTCTTAGGCACCATGAGACCAGTCCAGAGGAACTTCTATGATCCGTCATCTGCCCCAGGGAAAGGTGTGGTGTGGGAGTGGGAGAACGATAACGGCTCGTGGACGCCGTACGACATGGAGATCTGCGTGACCATCCAGAACGCCTATGAGAAGCAGCATCCCTGGCTGGACCTGACCTCTCTGGGCTTCTGCTACCTCATCGACTTCAACAGCATGTCTCAGACCAACAGGCAGAGCCAGAGAAAGAGACGCCTGCGGAGACGCATGGACCTGGCCTACCCGCTCATCATGGGCTCCATCCCCAAGTCCCAGTCCTGGCCTGTGGGCGCCAGCTCTGGCCAGCCCTGCTCCTGCCAGCAGTGCATCCTGGTTAACAGTACAAGAGCTGCCTCTAATGCCATCCTGGCCTCCCAGAGACGTAAACCCCACGGGGGGACGGCGGGCAACGCAGGCGCCGCAGGGACCCATACTGTAGTGCGGCAGAGCAATACCTTCGCCGGTACTTCGTTTTGGTCTCAAACATCCAGCTCCACCGGCACAAACAACAATAACATTAGCCTGGGAGGTGGACAAGCTAAAGCTGAACAGGTGCAGTTGCCACTGTCCGCTGCCAACTTCCCCTGTTCCCCCGTGATGCCATCTCTTTCATCTGCCCATGGCCACCACACTCTCACCATTAACGGACAGAACAATCTGAACCGTCCGGGCACCCAGCGCATTTCCGTGGGGACTGCCAGAGGAGCCATCCCAGCAGGGTAAAGATTTTTTATTGTACACAAGAGGCAAATGCACACAAAGGCATTGGCCTCTTTTCCTAGCTCAGATTTTCTGGAGTCGGCAGTGGCCTTTCACTCGATATAACGGAGGCATAATGCTCAGATTCAGTTGAATTTACAGTTCCACAGAGGCAACGGGTGGATATTAAAAGCCAAGAGCCAATTTTCATGTCTGCTACACAAAAGCGTCACCCTGAATCCGTGCTGTATATTCTGTCTTTCTCTCCCTCTTTCTGCTAATTTATAACTACTGTTGTTAACGTGCCGATCAATGAACCTGCAGACTAAAAGTCCAGCTGATTCTCCTCTGGCCCAGCTGGCCGAGGAGGAACCCTTTTCCTCCATATGTGTGCCCGCCATGGTTACTGCTCCATAACGAGCTTATGTCGGCCCCCGATAGGCGTGAAATGCTGCAGCCTCCGTTGGATCCCTCTGTTGCTTCTGCTTTGAAGTAATTTGTTGCTCTCACACTTCGCTGTGGTTGTTGTGTCACAGGATGTGAAAAGACAGTTTGACACTGTATGTGGATGATCTGAACGCGTGTTTATCTGCATCATTATCTGCATGTGTGTGAACGCGTGTGCTCCGGCGTAGCTGTGGAAACCTATTTGCCACGGAGGCAGAGCTCCACTGGGGAAACATGAATAATGGATCAAGGAAAAACGGGAGATTCGGCAGAGCGCTCTGACCTCAGAGCGATTCAGAGAATGGAACCAAGGAATAGAAGTGTGCTAGCGTTGTAACCGATACTTCAGTGCCCCCCATCCTGCTTTCTTTTGCTAAAATAAACCCTCTCCTGATCTAATTTGATTCCATTCTGTTCTCGCCGCTCATGGGGAGAGACACACTTACTGCATGTTTGAATAACACCGTCCTTCACCCGGACACACATGCTTTCACTTTGTGGCCTAATTCAGTGTCACCCCCACCCCATCCTCACCACAGCAGGTCATGACTTTGTTTGTGCGACGTACTCGGTGATGCTTCGTTCTGCATTTCAAGAATTCAGTGACAGCTCAGGTGTTCAGAGCTGTGGGCGAAATGTGACTTCTTCTTCTTTTCGTATTCTTTTTTACCTCACAGCACAATGAGTTTCTTACGAGACAGTGAGAGCTAGAGTGAGGGAGAGGAAGAGACCGAGGGGGTAAAAGGCGGAGCGCGTCATGTTCCCAGGCGAGTGGCTCGACGCACAGGATGAGTGTGGTTAACATACACACAGCAGGACATGAGAGCTTGCAAGCGCACAGACACAAACTGAAACGTGAACTCCCTCGCATATTCCCACAAGCCTGCTACAGACAGATAACAGAGTAACCCACACAGAATGTAAAACATCAGATCTGTGTTTTTTTCACACGCCCACGCTCTAATATAACTGCTGGGTGCACGGAAGGTATTTGGCACATTGTGGCTCGTTCACATGACTCTATTTCGCTGTTTTATGTATGCAAACGGGGTAGCCGCTATGGATGAATCAGGCAAGGTGTACTTCAAGTCACCAGCGAGAAAAGCTGCACGCTGGTTTTCGAGACAACGCATTTGTTCCCGAGTCCATTGATGATAAAAAGCCAGATATCGATCTTTGTATCTTCTGAAAAGAATACAGGTTGTGGTTGTCAAAGCGGGGGAGGGGAGGGGGGGAGTGTTTAATGCATCTGTGTTACGTGTGAAAACATCACAAGTGGCACCATCTGCTGGCTTGTGTCAACACATCAGTTTATCTTATTACAGAGCAGCCCACATATCGCCACCTGTGCAGCTCAGCGACAGATGCAGACTGCCATAGTTTTTTGTTTCTTCTTATCACACTGTTGCATGAGCTGGAAGCAACACTGCAACTGTCTATTATTTTATTAATTATTATTATTATTAGATTATTTTCTTTGCTCACTGGTTGAATTGCTTGTTTTGGGGTTTTTTTTTTTAACTGATGCCCAAAAGATATTCAGTTCACAGTGATGTAACTGGGAGAAATTAACTGACTATTTTTAAAATCAGTTCATTAAATAATACTGAACCTAGCTTGCATCATCTTTATAGATATTTCATGATATTTATGAATTCATTAAATATTTGCTGGTAAAAGAGCTGTTCGTGTTGATCTCTTTGAGTCAATAGTCTTGCATCATTTATGTGCAGCACCATGTTGCGTATATCTAATCGTTCTCGAGTATTTCACCCTTAAACCAAACTCACCATCGACAGGTCGAAAAAGGAACCACAGCAGGTTCTCGCTATGAGATTTTTCTTGTCGTTGTGTGTTTACTCATAGATACGAGAAATGTTAACGACGAATCGTCTGCCTGTTTAAAAGATAAACAGATATCATTTGTAGCGGAATGAACAGAGGAAGAATTTCACAAGGCCTCTGGGGATTTTTTGTTTTGTTTTGTTTTGTGTTTTTTAGGCCTCCGTTGTCAGTCAAACCACTTCCTCTTGTGCACTTTCTCTCCGCTCGACCGGGTTAAGCCCTGCGCTGCAGGTCTTTAGTTAGAGCTGCTTTATAGTATTGCTTTCAGTTCTCTGACAGGTGAAAGATGAAAGGTAAAAAAAAACAAGGCCTTGTCTTCATGAGCTGAAAGAAAGAGCTTTTTAATTGGGTGCGTTCCCTCGCTGCTATCGGCTGTGTTTACGAGCTGCTCGTGTTAAGGAGCCAGCCTGAGTTTTGACTGGAGGCCTGAGATCATTATCCCTCAGTGTGTTGCTCTGCTTCTCCTGCTCTGGCACTCCTCTCATGATGAAAATTGTTATTAAAATAAATGGAAAAATCCCGAGCCAGAGTTTTGGAAATCGTCTGTGCCATCGTTGCTTATTTTCAGGGCATTTCAGCTGCGTGGTGACGTGTATTTGCCACCCACACTGTAGCGGGGGCAAGCCTCTCTCTCCTGCGATACACATCAATATGCAATTAAGCACTCGTGGAGTTCTCTCCATTCGACTCTGTCTTTATAGCGCATAATAAACAGATGAGGAGATATTAGTCCTCCGTCAGCACTTCCTCAGCGAGGCTTAATGTGGTCTCTTTATTTTGGGAATCACATCTGATTAAGTCCTCAAGGCAGCTGGGAGATTCCCTCCAGAGAAGAAGTATTACTCTGAGCAGGAGATAGAGGAGGAATAGTGACCCTCATGCCCATGATCTGCAAGGGGCCTTTATTACTGTGGTGTTGATGGATGAGCTTGTGGGAGGTGGGTTTATTACTAAATTACATTGGTTTTGGGTTAGAAATTACAGCCTTAGTTATAAGAAATGCCACTCGGACACACTGTCGAAGGTTTGGGCAAAGATAGGCTCAGGTTAATTTTTACTTCATGGAGAGAAGGGAACAAAGAAGTGAACACAAGACAGGAGGATGAAAAGAATTGGAGTTGTCAGCGTAAAAGCAATGTAGAGGTGACAAGGTTCAGTGTAGTTTGCTGAATGTGGAAAAGGTCCGCGCTTGTTTACGCTGACAATGAGTTATAATTGCTCTCAAGGTCTGAGCACAAGCCAACAGAGCCCATTGTTGAGGATCATTGATTGTTTTAACCCTAAAGTGGCTGTTTTGGTGAGGACAACTCAGGGTTTTTAACATGAATGTTGGCGTTTCTTGATGAAATAATCAACATCAAAAGTTATTCCGTGTTAGAGATTTTTAGCGTCATGTGGTTTAAGGCGCGATTCAGAGGCACAGGGTTCACTGATTTCAGAGGTTCCCATTTCTAAATGAAAAAACAAGAAAGGCAAGAGAATTGTGTACAAAAGGAGACAGATGTCCACAGCTGTACACTGGCTACAGGTCATCTGGCTGCCAGTTTAATGTGTAATCAGAGATTTGAAGGAAAGAACGTGCTCCAAGATGTGCGTCTATGTGTAGGAGTGCGTGTCTTTCTGGTTAGGTGATAAGAATTATCAATAGCATCTAATGTTTGTGTGTTTTGTGTTTCGGCTTGTGTAGATTTTATCGTACCACGGAGTTTCCATCTTTTTTTGAGATCTTCTCTAGAATCTATATGCAGTACAAATGAAACTAACTAATGTCTTGTTCTAGTACAGATCCACTGCTGTGTGTGCTTTTAGTTTGTCCACAATGAGATGGCGTTAAGGGCTCTTGTGTTGTGTCGTCCCCCTTTTTTCTTCTCATGAAAATGATTTGTTTGATCACAGGACTCTCTGTGAACTGCTTAAATTAAACATGCACTCATAAAGGGAGGCATCTGAAGGATTCTCCCACTGGGTGGCAGTGAATATATTTATTTTTCTTGTTTGTTAGATTACTTTTTACTTTTGTTCTGCTTTTGGTTTTTGGGGTTTTTTTATATAAGCTTTTACACTTTCGTACACATTTTTTTATTCCAGACACAGAAAAATAGACCGCCGACCTCTTGACTCAAACTGGTGCTTTCATTGAGTGAAGGGCGGCTGTGTACTGTGAAGTATTGACTGGTTAGTTTTTGTTACACGCGCAGACTGCAGGAGGTGAGTTCGTCTATTAATTCTTCCTCTGTGGCTGAAGGTGTGAAATCACTCACTGGTGTCTTTTTTTGGACAAAAATCAAATCTGACGTGCCCACCCCCCACCTCCCACCCCCCTCTGAATTTGACTTTCTGACATAAGGCATTTATCAGAGCTGCACATCGCTGTATTTTTTTGTTACACTCCAGAACAAAAGCAAGCTGATCCCGGTTTCTGGCCCGCTGGTGTGAGACGCAGCGTATTTGAGTCCTTCCCAGAAATGCAGTGGCACACATCGGCTTCAGTCAGACCTCGTGTCCCTTTGTTATTGCACTCAGCTTATTGAGCGGCTTCCCCTGGTGTAAGAACCGAGTCCCTCACTAATATCAAAGCGCTGTGTTGATGCGGATTTGTGCAGTGCCTAGAGCTACAGGGTCTGACACTTCACTCCTTTCATACAAAGAGCAAAGAGACGTGCGCAGGAGTGTGTGTGTGAAGGTGTGTGTACGTGTTTGTAGTCAATAAACTGAGAACTCTAGTGATTCAGTGAGAGCACAGCATTGAACATCCGGAGATGATGGCTACCTTTAACTCCACGTTATTTGAAACATGGGTTGGTTTAGAAGTGTAGCAGGTTTGCCACAGTAACCACAGGGTTGAAGGTAGTTAGTGCACACATTTCTTTACTAATCACTCCTCCGACAACTGTGTGGCTTCGGAGCGTAATGACTCTGTGCTGCAGTCTGCCCACACCGAATGCAGGCCAGGTGTGCCACTCTTTCCACCGGCGCACCTCCCTCAGCCGACCTGCCCCACTTCTACGTCCAAGAGCCGAGCCATTATCTACACCGCGCCACCACAGTGAGCTGTATTACAGGTGTCTAAGGTTACCTTCCTAAAAAGAGAGAGACCCTGGCTTTGTTCAAAATATGTGGTGCTTGAGAAATTTATTAGACCAACACACAGGGTAAGGCTGATGCCCCAGCTGGCCTAAGTTAACAGCATTGGTAATTACCAACATGTTCCTGTAATGGTTGTCCATCAGTCTGCACAAGCTCTTGTCACACAAGCTTGTTTGTTTCCTGTTAAACAGTTCTTCTACTCTAGATGATTTCTTCTATATAAACACTTTGTCTCTATCTTCACTTGTTGCCAAAGGGCATTAAAGTACAGACCTATATTTTTTTTATTTCCTAAGTGGTGAAATACAAGCTTCATTTTATTCCAGAATCCCATTAATGATATTAATTTCTGGAGGTCTCAATGGAGACATGATATATGATTTTCCCTTGGAGCCACCATTCTCAAAATATCCTCACATCAGTTCATATTGTGACCTAGTCTTCGCGGTTTCTTCTTCTAATGTCATTCTTACCATCAACTCTAATAATATTAAAACAATAAATCTAAAAATGAACAACGGCTTCCTTCTTCGTAAAATAATATGTATGAAGGCCTAACCAAGTGTCCTAGTGTAATTTTTGCAATTTAAGAGGAATTTAAATGGTTATAAAACTTAATTAGAATTTTTTAGTCCGCTTTTCCACCTGTTTGGAGTCTAAACTGTTAACAGGAATAAAAATGTGTGGTTTGAAACTATCCATTTCAAAGTAAAGTGCTTGTTTTCATCACATTGTCTCACACTGGCTTACGTTTGTTTTTTTTATAATTGTCTGCTGTCCATTGTTTTCAAATTTAGTAACATTTACAGGCTGCTTCCTTTAGGAGTCGCCATAGTGGATAACCTGCCTCCATTTTATCCCTGGTTTCCTCTTCTATAACACCAACCCTCTGCATGTCTTCTATCACTACTTCCATGAACCTCTGCTGAGATCTTCCTCTTTTCCGCCTGGAATATGGCAGCTCCATACGTCCTTTGTCCAATACATCCACCATCGCTCGTCTGTACATGTCCGAACCACCTCTGCCTTGCCTCTTTAACTTAAACGCAAATCGCTTGACCCAACCTGTCCCTCTCATGTACTGACTTCTAATCCTGTCTATCCTCGTAGCTCCCAATGAAAATCTTTCCATTTACCCGGGCTTGGGATCAGCACTAAGAGTACATTTGAGTACACCATCACATTTGGTGTGATTTTATTTATTAGGTGTTTTTTAAAGGGCAGTGTAATCTCAGCTTTAATAACTCTTAGTTTGATGGCTTCGTACTTTTAATCCAGGGAAAGGAAACGTGTTCCTGTGCTCTGCTTCGCTCGGGGAAATTTGCGCGCTCATATTAATGCCCCTGTTTTTGCCCGCTGTGCTTCATAGATCTTGAAGAGTGAGCAAGTCAACTGTCTTTGTCGTCTGTGTTTGTCATGAACTTCAACCTCTCCGAATGTCATCCTGAATCAGACTCTGCGGCAGCGCTTTGCACAAGTCGAGTTGTCTCATCCTACTGCAGTTGTCTCCGTCTTTGTGGTGAAGCACATTTGACATTTTAGCTTGAGTGTTTTTCATGCCACGCAGAGCAGAACTGTCTGCTGCTTTCAGGTTTTTCAGCTGTGGCATAACAAGCAGTTGTACACAAATGGGACCGTTTACCGTCCATTTTAGCAGTCGCAGGGTCATTTACAGATTATAAGCTGTGTATTAAATGGACCCACATGGCGAGAAGCATCTGTCTGTGTGATGTGAGCAATTCTCTTTGTAGAGACCTTTGAGTAAGGGACTGTAACAACACTGTAGTTATAATATTACTATTTTTATGCCTACTTTGCTTCACTTTTCATTTCTTTTCTCTTAAAGGGTTCCTGCACTCCCAGTTAAAAACTTGACTGGTTCTGGACCAGTGCACCCAGCCTTAGCAGGTTAGACCAAATCTGCTGTGCAGCATCTGTTTAGCAATCAGCTATAAATGATAGTTTTTGCTGAGATGAGTAATGTTTGTTTATTTTTCTGTGTGTGTGCCCTACCCATGCGTCAGGTATGACAGGTATCCTGATGTGCGCTGCAGGTCTGCCCGTTTGCCTGACTCGAGCACCAAAACCTATACTGCACCCACCCCCCATCAACAAGAGCGACATGAAACCTGTGCCAGGAATCAACGGCATGCGCCGCAAAACCAAGAAAAAGCACCTAAGAAGAGGTGAGACGGCGGGACCGAACAACAGAATGAATTCAGAACAACAGCACTGTAGTTTGTAGTTTTATAATAAGTGAAGAAATGAGAAATGCACAGATGAGAGAAATCTGCCAACCACTGACAGACCATCTTTGTTCTGCCAAACTTTGCGACATGTTTCAGCCTTCTGAGTGTTGAAACTGCAAAATAAGCCACCAAATAAACTGTTGAGGGATCCATAATTGTTCCATAAGGTTAGCAGTGGCTCAGATTTCACCCAAGTTTGCTAACAGTCAGTTTGAAAAGCATTCCTGTACCTTTCAAAAAGCTCATATATGTATACAGTAAAATAACAACTTCATAAATGTAACACTACATTCAGATTGATACATGAAGACACAATGAAAGGCACGGTTACACTGAGCCGGTTTGAAAGGGCATCTGGTGTATAGTTGGAGAGCTCTGGGCATGAGTAAGTGTTGGTCGATGCAAGCAGTGGAAACCACAGACCTCCCCGGGGAGTTTTTGTATTAATTGAACAGTCAGACTGTTGGATTTCTATCCTTGCACTGCACTTGTCCTCTTAGTCAGTCCTTCAAGCATCTCATCATTGTGAACAAAGATTTTGTTTAGAGATACACCAGTTTGAATTTCCTTCCAATTTTCCAGTTTTCTCCAACTGTGACCTGCCGGTATCAGTATCAGTAAGAACAGCATGCGCCAACAAAAGCATTCCTCAATGCATAGTGTTATTTTCATTATAAAAGAAATTATTAAAGTTTACAAAAGCAAGTGCAACAAATGTCAGGTACTCACATCATCCGCTGTGTTTATAAAGTCACCAGATAACGGCCTTTTTTTCTTTCCTGCTTCTTTAGCTTTAAACAATTTGCCTTTTCTTAGCTTCTTTAAAATCTCCTTGTTCAGTTGAGAGATGGTGATTTAAGTATTCAATTAGGTTTGTTGTTACAACAGTTTTTTGCGGTGGTCCTTATTCAAATTCACCCAAATCAAGCTTTTAAACAAAAAAAACCCCCAAAAAAACAAGAGCCTATGCTAACAGCTATGTGAGATTACCTTTGGGTAAGGCCTAGAGCTAAGCTAAATGCTAACACAGCTAATATATCCAGACTGCCTGGTAATAGCTAGCTACTGTAGCACTAAATATATAGTTATTAGTTTTGCAAGTACACTTGGCCTTAAACTAGAATTTAAAACATGCTATTAGAAGGTATCTTTTATATGAATGTATTACTATCAAGCCAAGTTGTGCGAAAACTTTAAAAATTGCAAATTCATGACCATATATCTATTTTAGCCTCAACAAATGCTGCAGACTATTACAACACGTTCTCACTCCCAAAGCGTAATATTTGACGCTAGGTGACAAATCGTCAACATATTACGCTTCCAGACACCCACCACATCCCTAAGTGACAAGATCGGAAAAATGAGGAAACATGAGAACTGTTTGGAATCAATCTCACATGTTCGTTCATTTTACTTAAATCACTTTGGAAAACGCAGTTTAACGTCATTAAAGTGCTGGCAAAGGTTAGGGATAGGGTTAGGGATAAGGTTAGTGTTAGGGCTGGGATACATGGCTGGTACGTGTATTACTGCGGGACTGTCATTCTACTGGAACAGCATTAGAACGCGGAAGGTCACCTTTCACATACCTCAGGAACGCCACGGGATGTGACAAATCGTCGGGATGTTAGGCCTCAGGAGTGAGAACGGGCTGACTATTACCAAAAAACAGCAAAACTAATAAAATAAAATAAAATCTTCTGCTGTAGTAATTAGAAATTATTGACCTTTCAAATGTTACTTCAGGTAGCAGACAAATATGCAACCTATGTGTTTGTGTCTGATTTGATTTCTATTGCTCTGCTTTCTGCACCCAGAACAATCAGAGAAGTGAATGAAGCTGTCAAATAACAACAGAGTAAAATTATTCTTAATTAATTTATTAACTTTTTCTCTGTCTTTCTCCTCCTTTTTCTGTTTTCACCTCTCCTTCTCTTCACACATTTCTACCTCCTGCATACCCTTTATACCTGAGGATTTGGGGGGGACAAAAGCTGTCTCCTTCCCTCACTACTCTCTCTGCCTCTGTTCACTGGCTCTCCCTCAAATGAACAAACAAAAGCTCGGGGGGGGGAAAAAAGGTTGCCTGTAAGCGTATTAGGGATGTAAGCTGTGGGTGTGCTCTCAGCCATACCAGCCTGGTTGCACACAGGGATTATGAGAGTGTGGGGTTGCCAGTGTTATGGGCAGCTTCAAGGTGACCTCCTCTTGAACATCACTAACATGTGTACTGTTTCCACGTGCACACTTTCTTTTATTGGTAAAAAAAAGAAAAGAAAAGAAAGGCACATGGGGCAGAGTAGTCTGTGAGACTGATCTGATGTTGTTCTCTTGTTTTTGAATAGTCAATTTTCTCTTTACTCACACTTACCTGTGGCTTGTTCTCATGACTTTTGTGACTTATTTTTAAAAGGGAAAAACCCAGAAGATGTGGTGCGAAGATACACTGAGAAGATTAAAGTGGTGCCAGATGAGGTGAGAATAAAACCCATCGGTGCGCATATTCAGGATTTAAGTTGCTTCATGAGTACAGTCATGTACATGTCAAATGGCAGCTCAAGTATTTTGGCCCGCTATTCCAGGACTGTACCATCTGCATGGAGAGGCTGGTCATGTCATCCGGCTATGAAGGCGTCCTGCAGCACAAAGGCATCAAGCCAGAGCTGGTGGGCAAACTTGGCAAGTGTGGGCACATGTACCATCTGCTATGCCTGGTGGCCATGTACAACAATGGCAATAAGGTGGGTAAAAGCTTGCGAGCCAGACGCTGTTATGATGTCACGCTAGGCTCAAATTCTAAACTCGCGATGTCTTACAGCTCGACGGGGTTGCACGGCACTGGCAGATGATGGCCCTCGATATTGCTGCTAACAGATGGAAAGCTTATATAGCCTCATCTGATCAGTCTTGACAGCACAGTATTTTGTAAAATTACTTTGGACACTGAAGTTTGCTTGCAGGAAATTCAGATTCACTGCTTGCAACTGCAAACAAAAGAACACCATGCTGCACTGTTGGTGCTCCAGAACAAAAAAATCAAGACAAATCAAAGTTTCTATTGTGCATTTAAAATACCTCAGTTCACCAAAATGCTGTACAGTTTGTACAAAATACACACTATACACAAGGATCACTAAATGAACAATAAATATACAACAGAAATGTAATAAAACAAAGTAAATAAGTCTGTTTTTGCACAATAAAGCCAGGGAACTCTGCTCAACTAGTAGACGTGAAAGCAAGAACAAATGGGTCTTTAGAAGATTGGGAGCCACCACTGAAAAGTCTCAATCACCTCTAATTTAAATCCTTGATCTGGGAATTTCCAAGAGCAGGTTGTTCGTAGATGTCCGTGCTCAGCTAAGAGTCTAGGGTTTCCAAAGTTCTGTTAAGTAACAGGGTGACAAACCATGAGGTTTAAAAAGAAGGAATAAACGTTTAAACTGGATCCTGAAATGGAAGTAAAGCCAGTCTAAGGAAGCCAATATGGGTGTAATGTGATCACACCATTTTTCCCCTTTAAATAAAAATGTGAATTACAAAAGTAACAAAAACAACAAACTTCTTATTTACATTTTACTGTAACAATCTATGCAGATGATTCTACTTTTTATTTGTCCAGTTTTTAAAATTCCCCTCTTTGAATTTAGATTTTTCTTTAAGCTGCGATAGGTGATATTGCTGTACTACATTATAATAGATGTGTAAATTCTACTGTGGCTCCAGAAAGAACTGCAGTGGTGTATTTTTTCCCAGCTCTACTTGGGGATAAAGACTAACAACTCCTGAGAAAAATATGTTTTTTTATCCACTAAATATTAAAATATATTTACCAGTTAGTTCCTAACATCATCTATCTGCTGTTTGGAATCATTCTATTTGAAATTAAAAATGAGCAGAAACAAATAAAAGGCATTTTTCAGTCTCAATATTTGATATATTGTCTCTAGGCTGAAAAAAAATTGCAAATCATCCATTTAATTTGGGGTTTTGGAAAAAAGTGGTTTAATTTTATTGCGTCATTAACGTCAAATCATTATTTTTCTCCAAAGCAGGATGGCAGTCTTCAGTGCCCAACGTGCAAAACCATCTATGGGGAGAAAACAGGCACGCAGCCCCCCGGGAAGATGGAGTACCACGTCATACCACACTGCTTGCCAGGCTATCCAGACTCAAAGACCATCCGCATTGTCTACGATATTCCTGCCGGGATCCAGGTGAGAGCCGTCTCACTTCACCTAATCCACCACCCTGCCTTTCTACCCTGATCCGCTGTCTCTTGCCTCTAAATCTGTGACCTTTTACAACTGCTTATCCGCTTAAGTTGGATGGAGAGTTACTCACGCAGGAAGCTGAGGTGTCGGGATCCTGAGGAAACAGCATTTTTAGGAATTAAGCAGTGATTCAGGGCAAAGACAAAGAAGTATCTAAGAGTAATTCTCTCTCATGGTAAAGGCTTATGTTGTATAAGAAATATATAGAGTGAAAACATGTATGTTTTTTTGTCCTTATAAATATAGGCATACAAGTCCGCCTTCCCTTAGTTGATTTGTCTTTCAGCTTATACATCAAACTGATTAACATTAATAAGAAAATTAAACAGCTGGGATTTGCAATTGGATTTCACCGGGTCTGAGCTGGTGGTATTTTGGCTGGTATTTTCTCCTGACTCCTGAGATGAGCTCAAATTGAGTCAATAAGCTGACCTTTTTCCACCAGCGGAGAAGGCATAGAGCCCCCAGGGATAGCGCTGGGGGTCATCTGACCACTCAGATCAGCATAACAACACAATACACTATTGCCAGGGGACATTACTGTAAGTCTGTCTTTTTCCCCTCCTGCACTCTAGACAACATGAGTGATCATCATAGATGGTCAGGTTTACACTCTGTACTCTGTGGACGATAGCAAAATAATTGGGTGAGTAGGGAAGTGGTGACGCTGTGCATATTGTCCATCTTCTTTTGCCTTTTCAGTCTATGCCAGCACCCAAAACTGTATGATGAAAATAGTAGCACACTATAATGGGCTTTATACTTGTACATCTTTAATAGGTTAAAGTAGGTGGTGTGTTCACTTCAATTCAGTTCAGTTTTATTTTACATAGCACCAAATCACAACAACAGTTGCCTCAAGGTGCTTTATATTGTAAGATAAAGACCCCAAAGTAATACAGAGAAAACCCCAACAATCACACAGCGCTTGGTGACAGTAGGAAAGAAAAACTCCCCTTTAACAGGAAGTAACCTCCAGCAGAACCAGGCTTAGGGAGGGGTGCCATCTGCTATAGTGGGAGGCGGGGTTAGGGGAAGGAGACAGGAGACAGGAGAGAGACTCAATGTGGTTTACAAAGATCATCAGAGGAAGTTCTAAATGGTCGAGAATCTAACGCTCTAACCTTCTGAGCTTTTGGTGTCACGAGGGCACCTACAAGATAGATTTTTTTTTCTCTTTTGTGTAGTTGTAGTTAATGTTAATGTTCAGTTTTTAGATTTGAATTGAATTTTGATTGCACCACAAGCCACTTTATGGCATGAACTATTTTGATTTCATGCACAAATAGAGGAGCGGCAGAGAGTTTCTAGCTGCCTGATTGGAGTCTGCCATGCTAATACTTTTTGTAGTTACCTTTTAGTAATAGGTGCTGATGAGGGGATTGTCCTCCCATAAACCCAGCACTCGCTGATGAATAGATGTCTTAATGTTTGTGAACATCAGAACAGTTTGAGAAAAACAATAACATTTTTAAATATTGATCTTCTTCCCAGTGTTTGATCATCACAAGTAGCAAGTAGCGCTATGATCAAAAGGACACATTTCTGCATCCCACACTAGAAAAAAGTTCAAAATCAAACAGATTTTCTTGTTAAAACCAAGAATGCCATCCACTGGTTGAAAAGCCCACACTACACTGCCGATGTATATGTGAAGAAAACTAAATGAGATTTAAAGATCAGCCTCTTCGAACATAAAAGCAACTTCAAGAAGAAAGTTGAAAGAAGCCCAATGACATTTTATTTCAACTGCCATCGTGTGTGATCTCCTTAAAGACAAACTCGAGACGGACATTTGTTACAGAGACGAGAATACTGGCTTTGTGTTCTATAAATTGAAAACGCTAAAGGTTCAAATTAAGGATTAGCATTGAGCTGCTTTTTGTAATTCCAGGAAAACACATAACAACACTAGCACCCTCCTTTTAACATACTTTGTGTGACGCTATTTCATTTAAGTACTTGGGGTTCATCTCATTTGTAGGCCCAACAGGGCTATTTCATCCAGCAAGTGCAGTAGATGGTGCAATATTCCTGCAGATTTACATAATACACATGTAATCAGTGTCATGGTATTGATAGTTTATGTTTATGTATTTGTGTCGTTTATGTTTAACTGTGACTGATGACATATCACTTTATCATTAGTCCACCTGGACTAATGATGGCTTGTAGCTGAAACCTATTTGTTTTGGTCTTTAATGAACATTAAGAAGTATACTCATCCGTGATCAGTTAGTATTAGTGCCGTGTACTTTACATTGGTACAATACTCGAACCAATGTAAAGTAAATAAAGTCAAATACTGATACTTTTAACCTATAAAGGCTATGAGAGCAGTGTGCCATGACTTATAAGATGAATCATCAATTTACAAATTATGAACACATTTTAATGTGTAATTAAAAATTATTGTGATTTTTAAAAACACATCTTTCAGCTTTTCGTGTATTTTGAAACTGGGATTCGTTGGAGACCTGGAATGTAAACGTGCGTGTCTCTAAAGCACTTTGGGTCAGCTTCTGTTGCTTACATTTGCTATAGGCTACATAAAATAAACATGACAGTCACCACAAACACAAAGAGGTTCAGACATGTTTTATAATGCATGTCTGAGGTCATTTTTGTCATTTCCAAAAAAACATGAACAATCCGGTGGACTACGTGGTTCCTTAGAGGATAGAAACCACGTATTGATCGCATCGTGGTAGTATCAACCTGATACTGCTATCAATGCTGTATTTGGACCGATCTGTCCACTTTTAGGCAGCACACGTTAGCAGGAAGATAGATTTATGGTTAAAATTGGCTTCGTTGTGAGAAAAAACAGGATATTAGTCTCATTTCAGTGTGATGATATAATCAATATTTTACTTGCAAAAGCTAAAATATAATTTCTATTTCTAGATGCAGGCATAAATCAGTCACTCCCATTCATTGGAGGCCACATTGCACTCCCCCTTTTGGGGGAATTACAGCTATTTTCGGTGCGCTGGGATTAATCAAAAGTGGAATGACTCTCTCTGGATCACCTCTGATGTAACTTTTGAACCGTATGCCTGATTTTCGAAAATAGCATACCTCTGGAGTCACTGAAACGAGCTGAGTTTAAAGAGTCTCGTGATATCAGTTTCTGCTTTATCTAATTTTATTTAAAAAGTTTCTTCATCTTTTGGCCACACCTGTTTTTTTTCTAACCATCTCGGCACTTCTTTCCAAAGACTGTCAAAAAATGAGTCATGAGAGGGCAGCACAGAACTTTTTTCCTGTTATTGCTTACAGCCAGCTTTTAGCATGATCTGATCAAGTTGCCATGGCGACTGTGCCCTGCTGAACTACCTGATTCCATCAAAGCTTCTTGCAGCTTTATTTTTAGGTGGTATTATATTAGTGGTACAGTGAAAAGGGGCCTTATAACCTGTCCAAGAAGTGTGCTTAATAGAGGCACAAAGAACACACAAAAGACCGGGAAAGGCAATTGTGTTGTTACAGCAACCAAAGCCTGGGAATATTACCAAAATGTAAACATAAAAAAAGGAAAATGAAATAGGAAAATGGACAAAAAACAAGAGAAATTTGTTATAACAAGGCTGCTTTAACTGTGTGACGTATTTTTATTGATAAGGTTGAGGGAATTGGTGGGACCCTGGCTTTGATGAGCTACAAGATTTTTATTTCGTGCTAGTGGTTTCAAAGCACTTTATTTTGACAGAGACTGAACATATTACTGCATATTGAAAGTAACATAGTTCCCAGCTGATTATTTTACAAAAGCCTCGTTTAAGCGATGTGAGCAGTAAAGCTTGTCCTGTGGGTGCTGTTGACATTTCCCACACAATTAAGTCATAATTGCAAGTGAAGGCGTTGTAACTTTTGTTTTTTCTTCTTGACATTTTCACCAGACCAATGAGCACCCCAACCCTGGGAAGAAGTTCAGTGCCAGAGGGTTCCCTCGACACTGCTACCTCCCCGACAGTGAGAAAGGCAGGAAGGTAAGCTGCGACGCAGCTCCCAGACGGAAACAGCGGGCTTCCTTTTGTGGAAGCGCTGTGACAAACCATCCTCTCGTTCTTGTCTCATCAGGTCTTGAAGCTGCTGATCATGGCCTGGGACCGACGCCTCATCTTCACCATTGGCACATCCAGCACCACGGGCGAATCGGACACCGTGGTGTGGAACGAGATTCATCACAAGACGGAATTTGGCTCTAACCTGACCGGTCACGGCTACCCCGACCCCAACTACTTGGACAACGTCTTGGCAGAGCTGTCGGCCCAGGGGATTGGCGAGGACAATCTAAAGGACTGATGGCCAGCAGAACTGGTACACTGAAACAAAACCCCCCATGCCCCGCCATCTCCCAGAGAGCGGGGACACTGCACGACGGGCAACATGCGGCCGACAACGCTTTACTCCCCACAAACAAAAATATCCTGCAGAAAGGGTGGCTTTTGGTTTGTGTAACCCAGGCAATCTCCCTCCCTCCTGCTGTCTCTAGATCCATGCCTTGAGCAAGTTTTGTCTGTTGGCAAAGTCTCTCAAAGAGTAAATGATGCAAAGAGATTCTTGTCTGAATGTTGGGACCTTGAGGTGAAAGGTATTTATCCCTTTTTCGAGTCAAACTGATGCTGTTTTTTGGCACTCAAAGAAAAATGACAAGGGGCTAATAACTGTACACAGGCATATCTGTAAAATGCTGAACTCCAGAATGCATGGCCCCGACTAACATAATGAAAGTCAGGCAAACACACGCGACAGGGTGAGCTGTCAGCGGATCAGCTGTTGCTTGGTGTTATGAAGATTTAAGAAAATCGCAAAGAAATCCAAATTAACTATTTCCCTCCCCCCCAGTTTACTTTTTTAGTGAATTCATTACAAACGTTGGTTGTGCATTTTTGAAAAATCAGGTCATGGCTCCGGAGTGATGTCATTTATGGTTAATCTGATATTTTCCACTTCTGATAGGTCAGTGTATTTTATTTTCTACGTACGGAAGTATGTTCTGTAGTGCATGAAGTAGATTCCAGAGAGCTTAAGATTTAGAAGATTATTGGTGTTTGGTAACAATTGTGTGTTGTATGGTTAACCTTGTGGACAGTCTGTGAGAGGAGACATAAAATAAGATGAAACAAGCTCTGCTCCAAGGTTTAACTCATTTGTTTAGTTGACACACTGATGACGATGACCTCTGTGAATAAAAAGGCTGCATTATTATTATTCCTGTTGGAGCGAACCCAGGCGCTGGCACAATCCATCATGCTGACCGTACACAAGGGATGAGCGTGCAATCGTGTGCTCGGAGGCATTAATAAGCTGGCTTTAAGTCCTTGAGGAGAGAAGCTGAACACACAGATGGACGTTCCTCTGTCTTTCAAACACCAACAGCTTTCCCTTAGAGATCCATTTTCGGGGGAGCTCCTCCGCTCGCCTGCAGTCTCTTGTGAGCTTGTTTGCCGTTTGTTGGCGTTGTACTTGGCTCAAGTGCCCGCACAGTGAGCAGCTGAGCCTCGGAAACGAGCAGCATCTCGTCGCCTTCGTGAGCTCACTTTGGAGTCTTTGGGGCGCTTCCCGATGTATCTGTTCACCCCCGCTTTCCGCCTCCTCCTCAGCTGTGGAGCACTCGTTCTACAAACCATGCAAATGTTGGTCGAGTGTGTTGTTGGCTGGGGACTATTTTTTCCTACGCCCCCCCCCCTCCCCCTTTAGACTTAGTGCCCGCGAGATAAAGACTTTTCGAAGGTCCTCGGTGGAGATCTTGTGATGTTTATTTACTCTGCGATAAATTATAACCCAGAGCTGCATAATTCTCCATAAATATGTCTGATCAATTTTAATGAGCGGGAGCATTGGTGTCAGGTTTATTAAGGGGTCACCCAGCAGCGGGCTTGATTTTGGGGTTAATCATAGTCTTCCATAGCACTTTGAGGCAACATTTTTGTTGATTAAGTCATTTGGTTTTTAGAAAAATGTCTTAAATTGCAACTTAATCTTTTTTTAAGTTGATGTTTATAAACTGGCTTGCGATGCTTTAACTATATATATATGAATATATAAAATATATTTGCAGATGTGATATACCTTTAAATTTAAACTCAATTTGAGTCAATGGTGTAAGTTTAATTTATTTTTATACTCTTCTATATAGAAAATATACAGATTGTCCCACATATCTGTACACAGGCACATGAACATGAGTCACATAAAATCTGGCAAAAAAATTTGTCAGGATGTCAGGGACTGAAACATGTATGACTTGTTATGGACGTCTTATATTGCAAGTAGTCTTAGCGTATTCTGCTGTCATGACCTTAATGTAGACCTTGTGTAGTTGATCCCCGTGGGACACAAATAAATACAGTAAATGTGTCTTTATTATTGGTGGGGCAGCTTTAGCGGCATGAAGATGGCCCATGTTGGCCTTTTTTTTACGTTCCGTGGGAACAGATGTTGTCAGCCATTTTTTGTTAAAGCTGAAGGTGAAAACAGCCTGGGTTCAAGATCCAATCACAAAATATTCTTAAGAGTTTGTTTAAGCAGGTGAGGTTTCTCTTAGTTAGGCGTGAGTCACAAACACAAGAATACACAGAGTTTGTCACTTTAAATTCTTCCCCTCCCTCCTGCAGTGCCATGTCAGTACTAGTTCAGAACTAGTTTTGCATTATACACTGTTGCGCGGCAGAAAAAGAGGAAATCACAGCCGACAGGATCTGCGGGCTACATCTGCAAATCATCCGTGAATTTCTTGCTGTGGAGCCTCCCGTTGCCACTGACAGCTATTTTGTTGTGGCGAGGCAGTGCCTGCTTTTTGGCTCCAGTACCAGTCCCATTTTATTATGAGAGAAACATGAAAAAGCTTTCTGCATCAAGCGCTAGCACCACATCAGTGGAAAAGTGCTACTTCTAACTCTCGCATCAAAGCACAGCAGTGTGGAAATATACATTTAAATGTCAGTGATGCCTCAGTCGCAGCCACTGTGTTGGTAAAGAGAATTTGCACATGCATATGCATACCCAGTGTGTTTGTCAGGACTCCATTTACATCTGCAATTAAAATAATCACAGCTGTTTGGTTTGCAACTGCAGTCTAAGCCAGATACATGGATTAATTATAAAACTCTTTTCATACAAATGATTTGATCTCATATAGATATTAGGAAAGATATTTAAGGTTAAATTAAATATAATTTAATATGCACTGCTCAAAAAAATTAAAGTAAGACTGAAAACACATCGGATATCAACGGCAAAAAAGTTATGCTGGATGTTTACACTGATATGGACTCCATAATGTGTTAGGAATGAAAGGATGCCACATCATTTGAGGGAAATTAAAAATAGTACTCAGGACCCAGTGCACCAGCGTAGGGTCTGACAGTGGGTCCAAGGGATTTCACGCTGATACCTGATGGCAGTCAGGGTGTTGTTGCCTGACCTGTAGAAGTCAGTGCGTCCCTCAGATCATCACTGACACAACACCAAACTGATGATGCTAAACAGTGTTACAGACACCATGGACCTGCCAGTTCTGGCATTCTATGGCAAATGCCATTTGGGCTCCAAAGTGCTGGGCAGTGAGCATAGGCTCTTGTAGATCCCGCCTGTCATGCCTCCTATCAGAGGCATGCATACCAGTGCTCTGCTGGAGGTCATTTTGCAGGTCTGGAAGTGCACAACCGTTCTTCCTTGCAAAAACGAGCAGATACGGGTCCTGTTCATGGGTTAAGGACCTTCAAGACCATGTCCGATTCTCCTAGAGTAACTTCTGGACTCCTGAGCCAGTGATGGGAGACACAGCAAACCTTCTGGCAGTAGCACATATTGATGCACAACCTCAGAGGAGCTGGACTACCTGTGCAACCTCTGCAGGTTAATGTAACCCCTAATGGAAAAGTAGTGAAAAAAAACTGTCAGAAAAGATGATGAGGGAAAATGTTTATCTGTAAAAGTATTGCTTTTTTGTCTCATTATTGCCCCTCTAGTGCCGCTGTTATTAATTTCATTGACACCAAAAAGGTGAAACGTGGTTAAAAATAACGACCGCTGCTGCATAACTGATCGGATCAATATCCCAGAAGTTTATCTGACTTGATTCTGTACTCTGAAAAGTGTTCCTTTAACTTTTTTTGAGCAGTATATTTAAGACAGATTACTGACCGGCTTCATAATTCAGTCTCAATGAAACTTCTACTCAAATTTTTTTCTTGAAAGATCTTAATAAATATCGCCACACATTACTAAAATTGCATATGCATCCATGGACTACCCAAAGTTTCATCTACATATAGCATACACCATGAGCCTATTTCAGCTGGCCACATCCCTGCTGCAGTGTGGCAATGCTGAAGACACAAAGTGGTGTGAGCTGTTTATCCCAAACTTATGAATATATTTTAATATCTTTTGTTATTCTGTTAAAGTCCACTTTCACTAGATGAGTAGTGGAGCCTGTGTTGTCTGTGAGCTAGCGTCTCCATTTTTCAAAAAGGACACTTTTGTGGCTCTTGCTTCTCAGGCATGAATTTTCTTGAATGCAGCTGTTGTTAACCTTCAAAGAGAGCTCTTCTTCGCCCAGGAGCAACAAACAAAAGATTTAAAATCTATCCAAGGTCACAACAATCACTGTAAGCGCTTTTTTAAAAAGGGTTAAGGCATTAAAATACCACTGGGTTGTGTGCATACAGCAGGATGCCAACAGAAACTGCTGGATTACTTTAAAACAAGGTTTCATTATGCATGTGAATCAGCCTGCTGAAAACTGCTCCTGTGTAAAACAAGCTGTCATTGTGTAGCTTTTAGCTACAGTAAGCTCTTAAAACCCAAAGAATGGCAGATGCTACAACTCGCTTGTGATCACTGTGGAGCATTTAGCAGCTAAAGTGCTCGGACTTTTCATTCATCAGGTGGACAGGATCATGACTCTAAATGAATCGTGAGCGAATCACTGTCCTTAAGACCAAATAAGCCAGTTGTTGCAGATTTAAGTATTAATATCTGTTTAAATACTTTAAACCTGTATATTTGTTTTCAGGCTCTTTTAGCCACAGCTCTGTGTTTGTGGTATGGTATATGGTAAACAAACTATTAAGAGTATTTCTGAGTGATTTTTGACCCAGGCGCTGAAAACATTCACATTTTTGGCCTACGTCAACTTTTCTCCTTCGCACATTTGTGACACCCTTTATACAATGGGACAGCAAAAGAGAATGCTACCGATCTATCAGGGAACTTTTCCATGTGAAGTGAAATTTCGTTCACTAGAGAAATCCAAATGTTCGCTTCTTCAGCTTTTTCCTTTTCCACGTGTCGGTCTTGTAGTGTGAACGACGCCCGGCCCTTTAGACTTTTCAGGTGTGTACAGATCTATGTGGGAATGATGTATAAATCAAGGTTTTGGTATTTGTCCGGTTAAACAAGAAGGAGGTGGTTTTTATGCAATTTACTATTTTTAAAACCTAATACATGATTTACGTGTAGCAAGAAGAAGGTTGATTGTTTTTGGTTCAAAATGACAATGGATGTTTTCTTTATGGGGCGCCTACCTCTGCGTTTCTAAACAGAGAGGTTGCAATCCAAGGATGTTCACATGCTATGTATAAAAAAAAAACATATATTTTTGATGTCTTTTTTTTCAATGATTGTCTCTAAAAAGAACTATTATGTAACATTTGCTGTGTTGCTCTTCATCCCATGCTATTCCATTAGAGGTTAGAAGTGGGATCGGGGATGAAGTTACTTTGTCCTAACGTATGAAGTATATATGAAGTTGTACTCTCGTAGTGTCTACTGCAAACTGTACTTCTCTATCTAAGTGATACTTTACCATTTTTCTGTGGCTATGCTGTACGTTTGTATCCGTCCGTGTGAGCGTGTGTGAAAGTGGGAGTCTCGTAGACAAAG